TTTCGAAGCAATGTACTCGGCATTCGTAACTGTCTGACTTCTGTAAAGAAGTTTAGCTTTAATACGGTCAAACGTTCCAAATAAGTCAGTAAACAAAGGAAATATCTCCATTAATTCCCTCACGATGCTTTATATATTTTTATACTATATTTTTTTTAGTTAACGTTGTGACTGTTTTCGGTTTAATACATCAGTGGCATCCTAACACAGTCGGTGAAGAACACTTCAAATTTTGCTTCTTTAAGTACACCTCTAATAATTCATTTTATATTCTAATTCGCCCCGCTCAACCGAATATAAAACATTCATCATGTATTAAACAATCGCTTCTGGGGTATGTCATCACGAGCCTTGTACGACCCTCTTTATTTATATGTCCTTTGAATCAAAATTACATGATAACGACCAGCCTTAGAGAAACAATAACGGCCTGCACAAAATAACGAAAACTGAAAATATATACTAAATAATAACTTTACTGTATAAAGTTTACAACAACCCGATACGCCGATACTCGTAAATACTAGGCGGCCTTAGTCATTGGATATTAAATTTAGAGGGCAAAAGGCGGCCGTATGACTCGAACGAATACAAATGAAGACAACGTGATGTATGTATACTGTCAACGCCTCGCTAATGAAGCATTGTGACAAAGTTTTTACACAACCTGTGATAAATACATTTGTAAACTTGCTAATGCCTGCCACATTAGCATGCTAGCACCAAATAAACGTGCTGAGTCATAAGAGACCGAACATCTGCTGAAAGCCAATGAAAAAATTATCAACTGTAAAATGTGGTTCTATTTCTATTTATTTGGCAATAACTCTTTATGGAGTTAGCAGTTATAAACACTGTTTAAGTATACTGCCCTGGAACTTGTTTAATTGAGAGCATGGGTAGACCTTTTATCCTTACCACGGCGTTTTCTTAAATGATACTAGTTGTGGTAAGGTNTATAAAACATTCATCATGTATTAAACAATCGCTTCTAGGGTATGTCATCACGAGCTTTGTACGACCCCCTTTATTTATATGTCCTTTGAATCAAAATTACATGATAACGACAAGCCTTAGAGAAACAATAACGGCCTGCACAAAATAACGAAAACTGAAAATATATACTGAATAATAACTTTACTGTATAAAGTTTACAACAACCCGATACGCCGATACTCGAAAATACTAGCCGGCCTTAGTCATTGGATATTAAATTTAGAGGGCAAAAAGCGGCCGTATGACTCGAACGAATGCAAATGAAGACAACGTGATGTATATATACTGTCAACGCCTCGCTAATGAAGCATTGTGACAAAGGTTTTACACAACCCTTGATAAATACATTTGTAAACTTGCTAATACCTGCCACATTAGCATGCTAGCACCAAATAAACATGCTGAGTCATATAAGACCGAACATCTGCTGAATGCCAATGAAACAATTATCAACTGTAAAATGTGGTTCTATTTTTATTTATTTAGCAATAACTCTTTATGCAGTTAGCAGTTATAAACACTGTTTAAGTATACTGCCCTGGAACTTGTTTAATTGAGAGCATGGGTAGACC